GTTTTCTGGTTTGGTATTGAGTGTTGCCACGTGAACATCTGGGATACATATTGCCGTTACGTCTTTTACCCAGTCTAAATGTAGAGTTCTACAGAGACTGGAGAGACCAAAGACCTCAATTTAAGTTTGTGTATTATTTGGGGCCAAAATTACGCCAAATAAGCGACTTGTAGAGAAACCGACTTCTCATGACAGAGTATTGACGTTCATACAAGAATGGGCGTCTTACGCCCATTTAGGATATCTCGAAAGTTGGTCCAAATTAAAAGAGAGTTTTCAGTAATGACAGAGATCAACTTAAGAAAAGGTATGATATTGACTATGTCCGACTTACAAGCGGCATATTGATGGGAGAATTCTTGAAGCAAACAATGTCCGTGAGGATGTATGCAATCGAAAACGTTAACTCAAATTTGGCTACCTGAAGCGGAATTTCACGGACTACCAAAAGCTAACAAATCAGACCGACTAAGCATTAAGAAGACACGGGATACCACCATTCATCTAGTAGAAAAGGAAATTAGTGACGATTCAAAACAAATGAATGTACTGTTTGAAGCTGCACTCTTGCTACGATAGGCAATCAATAGCTGCACAAAATAGGTCTTTTCAGTGATTGGCCAGTACGAGTTTTCTGTCAGTTCCGAGGTCTTTGTTTGGACCCGATGGTAAACTAATTCACTATTTTGCAAAGAGCGCTTTGATGACAATTCTTGAAAAGTTAAGCGCTTGGTGGTGAATCAGAGCAAAGAGCGACCACTGGTCCTCAGATTAGTGCGAATGAAAGAGTAAATATGGAACCGTCATCTCAGCTGCTAGTTGCTGTTGTTGACGCCACAAATTGGCAGAACATCAATCTCTATGTAAGGCGCGCGGACCATATCAAAGACTGTTCGCAATGAGCTGAGCGCTTTACTGCCAGAATAATCCATAAGTACAAGTCCGATGATGAGGTCTGTCTGATTTTTTGATAGATATGACCTTCCGATGTGTCTGAAAAGAGCTACCTGAGTAAACTGGCAGGCTGGTCAAGATCCCGTCTATTAACGTATTAGTAATTCTATGTTTTTGTTATAGTAAGATCGAGAACGAACTATCTAGCTACCTGGCAGAGAAGTTCCTAGATCATGCTATGAAGACAAATCTACAAGTTGCTGGGGCCTGGGGTTACCAGTGTCGTGCAACACAACAAAATGCAAACCATCTCCAAAGTGATCAAGAAGAAGCAGACACCAAGATAGTGTTAAATGCTCCGGACGCAACTGCCAATGGTGC